TATGAATCATTCATGAATGTGTCATAAATAATGTAGTTTCGATCAACGAGAATTAGTCATGTGGCTTTGGTTTAAACACATTTTATGACACCTTTCACAAACAATTCTGCACCAAGCTTCAAAGTTCATCATAATATTATGCCACATTTATGATGGATCTGCAGTCACGCTTAATCTATATAACATGTTTTCTACCTGTGTCAGGAACGCTATCTAGGACTGATGATTGTGGTTTGTTTTAAACTGGATCAGTACTGTGTGTCATGTGTTAGTGTGCCATGGATCTGGTGTAAAACAAACTGGGCTTCAGTATTTCACAACTGATATTGGTCTGTTGTGAACCAAACTGGAGCTTCAGGAGTGTGCTGGTAATTTGTGACATTGTTGAGAAAGCAGGACATGTGGAGAACTACAGTAACTCCTCCCTCCCTCCTTCTCCCAGACTACTAGAATCTTCTGGAGGTCCTGGGGCGGCAGTTACCACAGCTGAGAAAGCTTAAACAGGGGGTTTGTGGTCTTACAGCTCTAAGGGGTTGGATCACTACCCCCATGACTGGGGTGCACAATTGTGGACTGGAGTCACATGACTTGGACTAGAGTCTGACTCAAGTCACAAATTTGATGACTTGAGACTTGACTTGATATAAAATAAGATAACTTGACAAGTGACTTGGAGCCGCAAGACTCGGGACTCGACTTTGACTTGAGACTGATGACTTGAAATTATCTGGCCAGGTTTTGTAATGTTTTGTCATTTTTGGCACGGAGTCTACGTGGATTACTCTACACGCATTCAGAGACAGCTGCAGCATGGTCCTTGCAAAACAAACCTGCTACAGATTGGCTAGTGAAACGCACACTCGGCACTCTGATTGGACCAGCAAACTGTCAATCAACACAGGTCGGGTGAGCTAGCGAACAGATTGCTGATTTGCTGTACAGCCATAGGATCGGGTGCAGCACAAACTTAAAATTGTAATAATAAATAAATATGCAGCTGCATAAATTGTTTGGTGATCAATAATATTAACGGTTTACAAGCTAAAAACTGTTTGAATTGATAATTTACTTATAAAGCTTGCATTTGGAATTTGTTATTAAAAATAGTTATTACAGTGGCAAAGACGCACCATAGGAGTGAATATTGCTTTTTTTCTCTTGTTGAAATGTTTGCTGTTGCTTTCAGACGTTTAAATGCATAGGCTCTATGTGGTCAATCTATATTCCATCTAATACTACAATAATTGGTGGCGTTTCATCAATCCATCCCCGTACCGTTTATTGCAACATGTAGACAATTCTGTTTCATATTTGACAGGCCTACGATATATTTTCATTTTATAGCCATCCATTTCTTACCCTGCTCTGAGTGGGCGAGATGTTTTTAGTGCACATGAACGTTCGCAAGTCTAATGAGGTAGAAGTTCTGTTTATTTAATTCAATGTATGGTTATGTCGGAGTTCCGTGTGTCTGTTGCCGCGTTCAAAACAACTGGGAACTCGGAAATCTCCGACTTCCAAGCGTTCAAAACAACTGGGAACTCGGAAATCTCCGACTTCCAAGCGTTCAAAACAACTGGGAACTCGTGAAAAAAAAAAAGGAGTTCAGACTGGGAAAATCGATTTGAACGGTCATCCAACTCGGAATTCCGACTCGGGAACTCGGGCCTCTTTCTAGAGCTCAGACTTTCCGACCTGCAGATCACTGAAGTCATGATTTGACCTTGTATTTTTCCGAGTTTCCAGTTGATTTGAACTCGGCATAAATCCTAAATCTCTGTCATTTTTGTTGCTACTGACAGATCACACACACAACCTCAACCTCCATGAAACAATCAGTCATCTTTCAAGAAAACTTACTTGACACAGTGTTTTGGTCAGTCTTCTCTAGCTCGTTTTTTTATCTGCCTCTAAATGTTTCTCAGACGCCTTCTTCTTATTCTCCCCTTGTGGGTTCCAGGATAACCTGCCGGGTGATTTCAAGAAAAGGACAACTTAAACAGCAAAACAGAAGACTTGGATGACTTATTTTGGTTTTCAAAAAATATTTTATTCAAAACTATAAATGCAAAAATAATACATACATGAAACAGACCAGAGAGAGAAAAAAAAGACTAAATTAATTTCAATTAGATATATTCAACATTTAAATGCTGCATACTGCATTGATTGGAGTTTCTTTTTTAACATTGCAATGGTTGTAGGATACCAAAACCCTTTCAATCACTTTGGGAACACACTTGTCGAATAGTATGAGAACAAGTGTTGGGGACGCTACTCTGAAAAGATAGTAGTTACTTTGAAAAAGTAGTTCACTACATCCAAACTACTTTGTGAAAGATTATCATATGTAAATCTGAAATGTCAAGACTATAAATTGTAAGAACAGATCACTTTGGGGTTATATGTTAACAGCCTATTAGCCTATTAAACACAAAAACAATGTTTGAAGTGAGAATTAGGCAGGTCTGATGCCAAAAAAGAAAGGAAATTGCCAACTTCATCCATATTTTATTTTTGCAAAAAAGTAGTGTAGTTCCAGTAGTTAGCTACACCACTTCATGGCAAACATTTATTAACTACTGAAAACACCACCTAGATTTGAATTATATTACCACCGAGCTAGTGCAAAATGTAGTTAAATTACTAGTTGAACTACATGTTGTTTACTACTCCCCAACACTGGTGAGAACCCAGCGCTTCGATTCATTCACCTGCTCTAGCTCCATCAGCAAAGGCTTTACTAAACACACCAACCCAACCGGTTACTGAAGACAACAGCCTTACAGCTTTACTAAGAACAGGAGAAATAAAATCAGAATAAATAAAATAAAATTCACAGATGCACAAGTTTCAAGTTTTAGCCATGAGAGAGAAAAGTCACTGACTGACAAGAACAGGCTACAGCACGAGAACGAAAGAGAGACCTTTGGCATCAGCATTGACTTTAAACAGAAAACGTATTGCCAAGATTGGTTAACAGCAGGCCTGTCTCCACTACCTAGGTCAACATCGGCAAAATACAAAAAGTAGAACATTAATAGTTTTCCATTTGGCCCTTCTCAACATTGTGTCTGAAAATAATTACTTTTTTCCCCCCAATTAAATGTCTGCATATAACAGTAAGCCTTCAAAGGCTTGCCAGGCATGTATGTCACAATCAATAAAGATCCCATGCTACAGTTGGCAACTGTGAAGATGACTTATTTTCAAAATATTATCTTGTATAGCTCTCCCCTATAGGTTATTTCTTACACTTAGAAACTCCACTTTAGAGTTGTGCAGCATAGCACAGGAGAGAAAAGTGGTGTGTGCTGAACATGGGTTTCAGACAGTCATCAATACGGATGGCAACCGCTTTTTAGGATTTTCTGTGTTTTCTATATGTCCTATACACTATAATTCACACTTTCACCGTCTCCGTCCTACCACTTCTGAAGGAGCACAGACTACACCCTGGTCTCAACAATAAGAGATTGAGTCATTATTTCATATAAAGGTCTTCACATTAAAATTAGAGAAAACAATGTACAGAGGGGGAAAAAGTTTACAACAGTATATTAATAAAAAAACAGCAGTAAAAAGCATACTATACCCTCTGATATGTTCATATACTGGTATATTAATAGGTATTAATATATATATACAGTATATATATATATACACACAGAATTTTTTACAGGTAAAAAATATACATATTATGAGAACCAAAACAGGTCAGGCCATGGGTCGCTATTGTTTTGGAGAGTGAGATGAGACAGTGGAGGCTACAGGCAGTCTTTGCCCTCCTGGGCGTGAGTGAGGCAGGATGTGTGGAAAGGAAAGCACATTGAGGAGCTGGGGCAGTGAGGGAGTGAGGCTTAAGACCTGAGGAGATCTAGGGTAGCAGAAAACTGAGGGAGGGATCCAGCAGCCCTTTGCAGCAGGTCGAATCTCATCAACAGTCATTCACTTACACCAGGGGTGTTAAACACCAGATCCAACTCACGAGCATATTCAGCCCGCGGGTAATGGACGTATATTTATAGTCACCTCACTCTGTCCAGCTTTCTAGACAGTCAGGGAGAATCTAAAATTCCAAAAGCGATGGAAAGAGGACTATTTTGAGACACATTTTGACAGAGAGGAAATATAATCAATTGTAAGTGCAGCCCTCCGGACATCGGCAAAGACCGAATGAAGCCCGCGTGGCAAAATGAGTTTGACTCCCCTGGCTTCCACACACAGATCTCCCTGTACATACAGTACACACGTACACGTGGCCATACACACCTCTCGACCCTTCATGTCCCTCTCTGAACCACTGAAAATAAAGCACAGTGTTGGGACGAACCCACAGTCCTTAGTAAGGTTTCAAAATTACGGGAACTTTCAATAAATTCCCTGGGTTTTCCATAAATCCTGGTTGGAGGTTTCCAGATTTCCTGCTTATTCGGTCCGGTTCCAGTTTTCCTCCAACCTGGATTTCGGGATAACCAGGGAATTTATTGAAAGTTCCTGGAATTTTGCAACCTTTACAGTAAAGTCAGTGGAGTTGCATGGATTCTCTGTAGTGTAGAGAAACAACCACTTCCAAGTCAGAGAAGGTTTAGCGATAGATAGCACATCAACATTGATTCCACCACCATTTCACCACCACCAGGCCAATAATCAGCAGCGAACAAGTCTCTATTGGAGGAAGAATGTAGAACTATCCAGAGGTGACTGATATGGTAAGGCCATCTTACGCAGAGAGACAGGCCCCTGAAATAACTTAACCATTCAACCACGATACCTGAGGGGGACCGTGGCGCGCACACACATGCACAAACCTACAAAAATAAATAAATACAAAAAGAAGTTGTCTTGCCACAGAATAGCATGGGGGTGTTAGTTTGTGAATCAAGTTTGTCCTCTTTGGTTCTTTTTTTGTTCTTTTTCCTGGGTGTTTTTTCTAGAAAGGTAATATACATTGGTGTCCAATGTGCAGTGTGTTGGGTGGTGAGGGTGAAGGTGGAGGGCTAGAGATCTTGGTAAGACAGGTAGGAGCGTATGCGCGGCGGGATGGGCAGCGTCTGCACCTGCTGGGTGGGCATGACCCGTCGTAGTGCCATGCGACACAAGTGCTGCAGGCTGGCAATGCTCTTTGGGCACGCCCAGAAATGCACGCTGCCGTCTCGAGACCTGAGCGAGAGAGAGAGGGGGGGGCGAGAGAGTTATTTCCATGTCGATCTATCCCTCACAACAGCACTGAAAGGTAGGTACTAGGTAGCCATGGTCAACTGGTTGAAGCATTGTTGTAAGATAACCCGGAGCCTGGGTGTAACCATCAACATATAGGGGCCGCTGCGCTTCCTATAGCATACAAACAAAAAGCCGGAAAAGCCGTTTTTGGCAGTACATAAAGTCTTGATTGATCACCTGCCACTTGCCTAAAGACTAGGGTGTGTGCAATTCAAATGGGATACATCCCCCGAGTATCTGAACGGACTGAGGTATGGGTGTGTATGTGCGAGGTGTAGGTGTGTGTGTGGCGGGGAGGTGTAGGTAGGTGTGTAGCCTCACCCAGCTGCTAGGAAACTCCCGTCAGTAGAGAAGGCACAGCAGAGGCCGTTAGTGAGGGGAGCGATGGCCTGGGGAGACTTCTCATCAATGGTCCAGAAACGCACCATTCTGGGGAAAGAGGGAGGGACAGAATGAGTTAGTGGGTAAGTAGGAGAGAGAAGGAGAAAGACAGCAAGAGGAGCGCTGGTGAGACACAGATCACATGGGAACAAGCTGGCTGAAATAGAGCATAAAAAAACATGACAACCACGTGAACCCTGAACTGTAGGAGTCATTCATATTGTTCCACTTCAACAGTGGTTTTGTATTTTCAAAGTAAAAAAGGGTGAAGTCAATTCTAAATCAAAGAAGCCTACTTTAGCATTTATTTCAATATTCAAATTAAATCTAACTGTTCAATTTCAATCCTATCTGAAAATCTCATCTTGGAAGATGTGGCTGAGAAGAAAAAAAAAAGTCTGCCATTTTGTGAGGCTCGTTCCTCCTCTCTGCCTTCTCAATGGCAAACACTTAGCAGCCTAACCAACGAAGGGAAGGGCGGGGCTAAGTAGAGAAGTCGTCAGCGGTTGATTAATGGCTGTCATGAGGGTCATGTGACCAATTCCCAATTCTCACTCAGACCCCATTAAGAGTCTCTCTCTCTCTCAAACACTAACACTTTTCATCAGCAGAGAGAGAGAGTACGCAGTTTACCGTGTACACTGTGAAGCGTGACAGCGCAAATGGATGTGGTGAAGCAGCTATGGCCAACATCAAATATTACAAATCTACACCAGCACATGCTCTACACCGGAGGTAGAAGAGAATGCCTTAGAGAAAGGAACAAGTGGACATTAGCTATAAGAATCTCAACTATTTTTTTAAAAAGCTGAGCTTTTCCTTATAGGACCCTTCTGATTCACCAGACACAGGTCTCAGGCTTTGTTCTTTACCTATCGTCAGTGATGCTGGCGATGTGACGCCCGTCGTGGCAGAATGCTACGGAGCGTACCCAGCGATCATTGGCCCCTCCTGCAAAGATGGGCGAGGGGGGAGGGAAGAGGTGCCTGAAGGAGAGAAAAACAGAGCTAAAAAAACTAACAAGGTCTTAACAACATCATTGTGTCATTGCTTTGCCTTAGTTCCTGGTGTGTGTGTGTCTGACTTACGCTAGCTCCATTAGCACAGTGCCCATGTGGGGGTCCCAGATGATGACGCGGGTGTCGTAGGAGGCGGTGGCGAGCAAGGCTCCATCGGGAGAGAACTCACAGGACACCACGTCGTTATGGTGACCCTCCAGCTTCCGGATCAGGGAATATTTATCCATATCCCAAAGGAACACCTAGAGAAGGAAGAGGTCCATGTTATAGCCCACGGAATAGCGCCATGCAGGGACAAGCATTTTAAACACTACTTAAAACACTTAACTTAAAAACTACTAGCATAAAAACAGACGGAATGTAAATTACAAGTAGTTAAATTAAGCAACAAAAATAAAGTAAGAAATAAACAGAAAAATCATTATATGCTCAGTGTCATTTTATGGCTTGTGTTGAACTACAGACCAAACAATGCACAAAATAAATCACATGCTACTCAAGCAGCAATGCTATGTTATGTTACAAAATGCATGTCACTGCACATCTGGTTTCTTAACATAGCTGCTAAAATTGTGCTCCATATAAATTGTCATTTCTATGACATAGGCTAGTAGCATTTAAACAACATAAATACCTAATTACAATGTTTTCTTAATACTAATACTAAGTCTACAGAAAAATGAAAAAATAAAACAAGTAGTAACTTAAGGTAACATAATGTTACTCCACTGGTTTCCCCTTTCAGAGTTTAGTTCACTGTGATTACAATAGGCTCGCACCTCCGGCGGAAGCCTACGAAGAGACATACTGCAAGAGAAAAAAACATTTGATGGCCAAAAGGTTGACGCCTTTGGACACACATATTTGCAACATCTGCACACGGTTTTCAACAGTCAGCCATATGGGTTTGAACGATCCTTTGCTCCAGCGCAATGTAATGCATGCTCAAGAGAAACATGCCTTGTCGTTTGTTAAAACTTTAAATTCACCAGAACCGAGCAAATCTAATTAAATTTAACAGTGATGTTGAATTTCGTTGTAACTTTCAGAACCAAAACAAGATTGTATAGGCCTATTCAAATCGTAACAAGGAGTTCTGCAAACATTGCACTTGAGCAAAGGTGCAACATGTCCGCTAAAGTAGATAAATGCCATTCCACAATCAAGTCAATGTCAATGGTTTCTGGGCACTACTTCAGTTCATAATGTTCTCCTACTCCCTCCTCTAGCGTTAGTGTGAAATGAAAGGAACCCAACGCATGAGGCTACTGCCTGCATTTTAGGCAAGCTGCACCGCTCTACAGTTTATAAGAAAGGCAGCTGCCAGTGACTGTATGAGGAAAATCTGCTCCAAAATGGCACACAGTTACAGTTGCCTCCTTTGTTTTGTGTGGTGTTTTTAGTGAGGCTCAGTTCTTTTTAAAAAGTTTCTGTTCAAGCAATTAAGAGTTCAGTTCGAATGGATTGGTAGTTTTGTTTGAATTTTGGGTGAGGATTGGTTTTCAGTGCTATGACGAGCATGCGTTTTGGTTTTCAGTCATACTGACTGTTCTTCCTCTCCCACTATGGTCACAGAAAATCATTGACCGTTTGTCCTCTCCATCTGTTTTAACAGAAAAGCATGCGAATGCTAATCAAAGTGGGACATTTCCGTGGGGGAGTCGAATGAGGAAAATACTGCCCTATGGCCAATTATGAGGCAACAGGGAATTCACTAAGTTACATTATGTTTTTTTCGACTCCAACATTGTCCATATTCATTTTGGTAGAGTGTTTGGGACAAAGGCAGACATTTATGGGGATGAAGGCAGTCTGCGAAGCCACATGAGAGTCCTTTCAATTCTCATTTACGCCAACAATGACCTGACCCCTGCACACTAACTCCATTACAAAAGGGGCTGAGCGGGGCAGCCACAGCCCAGACGGGCGTGCAGACTGGCCCTTAAACGTGGGCCCCAGGAGAGAAGTCAGGAGGATGAGGGAGAACTAAGGCTATCAAACTACAGTAACTGATGCTAACAGCCTCATTATGGAGAGACAAATAAACATAATGTAATTCATACAAGTTAGACTGTGGGTGGGCAATACTGACATTGAACTGACAAAAAACTACAAACCTAACAAAATGTCAGTTAAGGTGTGCTATAATAGATAGGGTTTCTAATTAAGTACAGTTGGGAGTGGGGGTGAGATAGGGAGGGAGGGACAGTAAGGAGGTGAAGGAGAGGGGTAAGGGAGAGGGGTAAGGGACCGTGTGGGTGGGAAAGGGTTTACTTTACTGCCATTTAAAATCAAAGTTTTCTAACTGATATAAAAACTGCGACAGCGGAGGTAGACAAACATGGAGACAGCAGCACCTACGTAATGGAGACCTTGCGGTCAGGTAGGTGCAAGGCTGCCCTGCCCCCTGGGCAGGGGCACAGTGCGTCCCAGCCCGGCAGTAGTAGTGGCAGTGGTGCCACCAGCCAGTGGTCTGCACCGGCTGCTTTATGTCAGCGCGGCGCTCCCTCCCTTCAAAAACACTCACACACCTGCCACCTGTGACAGGGAAAGCAAGACACTTATGGACACAAACAGCCTAACAACAATCTAGCTGCACCCTGCACAAGGAGGATGGAACTGGCTACAGTAACTAACTACTAGCATGTTTATGAGGTTGTTGCAAAGTGTGTATCTGTGACTGAAGTCATTGGGGTCTGATCCCTCACTGGCTGGGCAGCCATCTTGGGGACTACACCACTTAACCATCTAATTTTCTCCTTAATAAAGCAGATTGTATCAAAAGGGGAATCCAAAAATCTTTAGAACATTTCTTTGAATGATTTTGGTCTGCATTGAGGTTAAAAGGTCATTAAATAAAGCATAGCAATCTGTATCCCCCATTCTAAAACATCAAATGAACAGTTTAGATTGGGAGTTGGATTGTAGAGAGGATAAATACTGGAACTATTACAAACATGTGTGATCATTTGTTTAGTCTAAATGCATATTATAATACCAAAGCTGTTTCAACTTAAAGCCAAACCAAACCCAACTACAGGCAGGGTTGTTGAACAGGTCATGACACCAAGCATAACAGTCAAGATTCAGTTGAGGGGATTGGGGAAGGTGGGAGTGTTTCATTGGTAGGTCATTGAGCATAACTAGGCACAAGCAATAGCACACAGAGTAGCAGTTCATCTCAAAAGGGAGAGAAAGGGGAACAGGTGTACGTACCGATTTACCGGCTCCGACAGAGCAGAGGACTGAGGAGTCTGGTGAGAATGCGCTGCAATAGACCCAGTTCTGATGACCTCGCAACACTTTCACCATGTTACCTACAACACAGAAACACAGCATGTTATGACGTGTACATGTGATGGAAAAATTAAAACAAAATATTAGCTTTAAGAAATTATTGTGGTGAAGTAACAGTATAACAAAACTCTGCTGATTATGTTTCCAAAGTTTACTGGATTTTCTGCAGAATTTCAATAGGGATAATTTGCCTATTTTAATTAATGGGCTTAACTAGGGCTGTGGCGGTCATGACATTTTGTCAGCCGGTGATTGTCAAGCAAATAACTGCCGGTCTCACAGTAATTGACCATTAATTAACAAAAACATTTAGCATCTCCTGGCTTCCACGCATAGCCAACATGACACTGATGCAGATCTTTGGAACATCTACATTTTTTAAAAAGTCTAAAATCCATGCACTACAGCCTAGACCGTCACGATAAATCCATGATTTATATTAGACAGATCTAAAGAAACATGATGAGAAAATGTAGTCTATTACAGAAGAAAATAACAGCATACTCGTGAGTTGTCCTTATGTTAGGCCCTGATCTGGCTATGCCATACAGTGAGGGGAAAAAGTATTTGATCCCCTGCTGATTTTGTACGTTTGCCCACTGACAAAGACATGATCAGTCTATAATTTAATTTTAATGGTAGGTTTATTTGAACAGTGAGAGACAGACTAACAACAAAAAAATCCAGAAAAACGCATGTCAAAAATGTTATAAATTGATTTGCATTTTAATGAGGGAAATAAGTATTTGACCCCTCTGCAAAACATGACTTAGTACTTGGTGGCAAAACCCTTGTTGGCAATCACAGAGGTCAGACGTTTCTTGTAGTTGGCCACCAGGTTTGCACACATCTCAGGAGGGATTTTGTCCCACTCCTCTTTACAGATCTTCTCCAAGTCATTAAGGTTGAGGCTGACGTTTGGCAACTCGAACCTTCAGCTCCCTCCACAGATTTTCTATGGGATTAAGGTCTGGAGACTGGCTAGGCCACTCCAGGACCTTAATGTGCTTATTCTTGAGCCACTCCTTTGTTGCCTTGGCCGTGTGTTTTGGGTCATTGTCATGCTGGAATACCCATCCACGACCCATTTTCAATGCCCTGGCTGAGGGAAGGAGGTTCTCACCCAAGATCTGACGGTACATGGCCACGTCCATCGTCCCTTTGATGCGGTGAAGTTGTCCTGTCCCCTTAGCAGAAAATCACCCCCAAAGCATAATGTTGAGTTGAGTTGATGCGAAAGAGCTCGATTTTGGTCTCATCTGACCACAACACTTTCACCCAGTTCTCCTCTGAATCATTCAGATGTTCATTGGCAAACTTCAGACGGGCCTGTATATGTGCTTTCTTGAGCAGGGGGACCTTGCGGGCGCTGCAGGATTTCAGTCCTTCACGGCGTAGTGTGTTACCAATTGTGAATAACCAATTGTGTTCCATTTGCGAATAATCGCACCAACTGTTGTCACCTTCTCACCAAGCTGCTTGCCGATGGTCTTGTAGCCCATTCCAGCCTTGTGTAGGTCTACAAACCTTGGAGAGCTCTTTGGTCTTGGACATGGGGGAGAGTTTGGAATCTGATTGATTGATTGCTTCTGTGGACAGGTGTATTTTATACAGGTAACAAGCTGAGATTAGGAGCACTCCCTTTAAGAGTGTGCTCCTAATCTCAGCTCGTTACCTGTATAAAAGACACCTGGGAGCCAGAAATCTTTCTGATTGAGAGGGGGTCAAATAGTTATTTCCCTCATTAAAATGCAAATCAATTTATAACATTTTTGACATGTGTTTTTCCTGGATTTTTTTGTTGTTATTCAGTCTCTCACTGTTCAAATAAACCTACCATTAAAATTATAGACGGATCATTTCTTTGTCAGTGGGCAAACGTACAAAATCAAATACTTTTTTCCCTCACTGTATAGCTGTGGGCTACAGTAGTTAATTTAGCAGACAAGATTTGCTTAGAATTCTGTGTCATTATTGAACATGGCTGAATAAAATAGAAAGGATATTTTCTCCAAACGATTTGAGGGAGTGAGCATATGCAGCTATTCTGTGTTGAGCGGTTAACAAAGAAACAGGTACTCACTCCTATATGCTTAATTTAGAGTTATTTATGTAACTTTAGTTGATACAAATGCTGGGCTATATGTTTTGATTTTTTATACATTCTAAGGCTGCATGATGCGACTCTAATGATGATTTGAAAAAAGTTGCATGAAAGGCATGAGCTCTGCTTTGTTTTTTGGCAGGCTGTACAAACTTCATCAGTCTCTCATTCCCAATTTCACAAGCAATTTCCCAGCTGCATCAATTTCCCAGCTGCATCCCCTTTGTATGGCCGTAATGCCACCTAAGAAAATCCATTCCTTTCGCGGCCAGTGGCCGTTGTGCCCTTGGGCTGAATTTAATAATTATAATTCCCTTCTCTTGGCTGCAAGCCGAAGCACCTCTCACTCACATAGTTCTCCATCACGTGATCGGGTCTTTGTCACAGGCTACAAGTGAAGACAGACACATCGGAGATGCAACTGCGGGAGTCCTTATCCAATTCCAAGGTGCATATGGAAGATATTGGAAGAACTGTCCACATTTACTTTTCGTCAGCCATCAAGCCTAATGAACAACAAAAGCACTACCCTATGCCAATCTAATTTTTTTTAATACATTTTAGTCATTTTAGCAGACGCTTACAGTTAATGAACGCATACATGTTTTTTGTTGTTGTTTTTTTCATACTGGCCCCCCGTGGGAAACGAACCCACATCCCTGCCGGCCAAACCCTCCCCTACCTTGGACGACGCTGGACCAATTGTGCGCCGCCCATGGGAGATGAGAACGTTTATCTTAAAATGTTCATAAATTATTAGGCTATTTCTTCACATTATAAGCGCAGCAATGCGCACACGGCAGTAGGCTATACGCGTGAATGTTCCATTAGCAGGAAAACACCATTCTCAAAAGTGACCACAAATGCAATTATGCATGTAATGCTTTTATTATAAAGATGCATTTTTAAGTTGAAAATTATCTTCCCCAAACTTCAAACTCAACCGCTGCGTATAGTATGCCAGTTAGGCGCTACACCCGTTGTAAAGCGGATTAATGTGCTTCATTTTAAGACGTTATTTGGCCACTTTAGTTGTGATACAAACCTTATCAAAACATACAGGCCTATGGGCTAGGCTACATGAGGTGTGCAACTATGATTAGAAAAAGTAGCCAAAAAAGGCATGCGATGTTTCTTGCCTTAAGCTGGGCATCATTCACAAGTGAAAGGCTAATATTGTCACTCATCAGACTATTCTTGATTTCATCTTGTTTTTACATATACTAAATACTATATATATGTGTGATTTTTTATTTTTTATTTAGAATGGACCAATATCATGCTTCTGTCTCGAAACAGAGGCAGCGGAAAAAAATACATGTAATCTATGCACTTAAATAGCGAATGGAGGACGCGTTTCCCATGGCTCATTTTCATACCAGCCAGGTAGGCTATACTCCGGTTGTAAAGTGAAGCAATGTGCTTATTAATATTAGAGAAGTTGAGGAATAATTATAGTAGGCCTAGCCTATAGAAAGCTGGTGGGATCCTCCTTTTTTAAATAGAGGCCATCACTCTGTTTTCTCACGCTATTGCATAGCCTATAGAAATGTTGTGCAACATGAATGTATGCTATCACTAACTGCAAGTCGCTCTGGATAAGAGCGTCTGCTAAATGACTAAAATGTAAATTAGATTTTCGAATCCATTTGCATTGATGTCAGAGTGATTAGAGGGACAATTAGGTCCGCTGTAGCTCAGTTGGTAGAGCATGGCGCTTGCAACGCCAGAGTTGTGGGTTCGTTTCCCACGGGGGGCCAGTATGAAAAATGTATGCAGTCACTAACTGTAAGTCGCTCTGGATAAGAACGTCTGCTAAATGACTAAAATGTAAAATGTAAACAAGAGAGTGCTGAGTACCAGGCAGTTAGCAAGTTTGGTAGGCTACTAATGACCATCAGCAGCATCAGAGCTTGGAGAAGCATAATTACCGTGACTAAATGGTCAAGTGGAATTTGACTGCCGCCATGACTCGTGCCCGCTGGTGTGGCGGTAATACGGTCACCGTTACAGCCCTAGGCTTAACTTGTAACATTTAGGTTTTTCCAATTAGGCTCTGGAGACTAGCCTTGTGGTGTTTCAAGTTACAAAGACTGTATAAAATCCTACTGCTTGTGTATGTTGATTGCGTCATTTGAAAACACTGAATCACAGATAAAAGAGGTGTTAGTGGTGATCTGACCTTTATCAATCACTGGATACAGGACTGTTTTGGTCAATAGAGGAGAAAGTAGGTCAGACCATGCCATGGCTATGCCCCCTCCTAGGCTTTTATTCAGGAGACCTCATTGGACCTGGGCCCAATTTTAACATTATTCTCTGCTCATGTGAGCTTAGAATGCATGCAGGGGGTTGGGGCCTTTCAAGGTGGAACCGCCAGCAGCAGTAGCAAATTCCACTGGAACAAAGGCAACTCATCACATGCTACCTACTTCTTCATCTTAATGTTTGTGGATGTGTATTATCTCAAAACACAAAAACGACATCTGCATGGATCATAATAATCTCGACCTCAACAGATCAATGTGGCTTGCTAGCACAGCTGTACAAATCTCAAACCAAAAAAATAATTGCATGTTAACGGTGAAAAACGGTCAAACTAAATCAAAAAGGTCCTCAGCGCTCAGTGTTCTTACCGTCATCTTTCAGGTCCCAGACCCTCAGAGTTTTGTCTCTGGATGACGATACCAGCATGAGGCTGCCGTCAGGGGCGAAAGTCAGGTCTCGCACTATATCTGTATGGTCCATGAGATTCAGCAACAACTTTCCTGTAAAGGCAAACAACCCCAGAGTTAATAATAAAGCTAATGAGGTACACAGCACAGACAAGTTACTCTAGGTCAACTCCACCACCTCTGTTTACACAGTCTTGGGGAATTTGTCATGATTTCTGGATTAAAATGCCACAGAGCTGCATTTTTAAAAAATTTATTCCCTCTATGGGAAAGGGTGTAGAATAGTGTGGGTGCCACACCCATGTGAAAAGTAACGAGAGCGCTGTCAGTTTATACAGAAGCACAGAAAAAGAGTAGAGAGAGATTGAGTAGAGAAAAGAAACAGAAGAATTTAAGAGGGGAAAAGAAAGAGGGCTGTCACATGAATTCTCCATGTAACAACTAGTCCCACCACCTGAGCTTTCTTTTCTCTTTATCTGACGAGTTAGAGCCCTGGAAAGCTCTATTTCAAATATATAGTTATTCTCAAATAGTCTGCCAACAGTCAGCCAACTCCAAAATTGGGGTATAATAATCTATTATAATAGTTATCCCAATAACACCCTAAGTGGTGTCCATTAGTTTACTGCAATTAGGGGAGGGGTGGTAGGGTTAGGGGAATATATATATATATATATATACACACACACACACAAAACGTAAATTTTGAAACAGTTTATATATTTAAATCCTGGCTCAGGGATCGTTTGACATTCTGAAATCAATCCAGATCTTCAGTTGACTTTATCCCCTGACTGTCTATGGTCTCCAGGCTGTTTTCTGTCCTCCATAGGGGGCCAGAGGGGAAAACTCTAACTATTCATTCCTGGGCTACTGGTCTGGTGTTGTGACATTCTTAATTTAAAAAAAATCTATATTTTATTTTTATGTTGAATGTCACAACTCACACCAGACCACAGTATTCCGGTTACAGAAGCTCATCAGTCAATGACAACATGGCTCTGGGACCGGCCCCTGACAACTATACCTCCACCCAATTGCAACACAGCACAGCTGGCGGGTAAGTGTAAATCATTGGCTGTCAAGGTGGTATTCCTGTACACACCCTCCCACCAATCAAGTCCAAACAAGACATACTCTGTGGAGATGACTATTTATCCACACAGAAGTTAGCCAAATACTTTGACTAGGGCATTCTATTTGTCCTTTGTACATACGTAGGCATTAACGTATACAGTGTTTCTGGTAGATACATTTCAAAGGCAGGTTTAAAGGGCCCTGTATGTAGGTGTGTGAGGGAAAGAGAGTGGGAGAGAGAACCAATGAGTCTAGGAGAGCGGGGAGCCTGGCAGGGTTGTGACGTCAGCACTGTGTTGGCAGCAGCGAGAGAGGGGCCGTGGGCAAGCATCATCAATCAGGTGTGTCAGTAAAAAAAAAATCTGGGAGCAGGAGAGGAAGCAGACAACCAGCAGGGCTAAAACGAACATCAACACGTGACTGTCTCCAACACACAGACCATAAAACAGGATGCCAGCTAGAGGTGGGTGGGTAGATGAGATGGGCAGAATGGCATGGCGACCTTGTTTCACTTCTGGAACAGAACAATGAACATTCTCTTGGCTGTTCTATTAGAAAAAAACTCATTTTATAGCCCTGTGTGCATCAGGAAGGCTTATGTAACCCTACCGGGATAAATCTACTCTCTTTAATGACTGGCTGCTAAAAAGATCCCCTAAAAATCCTGCATCTGTGCAACGGTTGATGTCACTGGAATCAGGCGTATGATCCACAGCCAGTGTTCCCTCTATATTCATTTAAATCGTTGCCGCCACTTCAAAAAGTATGTAGAAAAGATAGTGGACCGATATATTTTTTTATAAGATCATCTTTGAGAACTAACAATCACCAAAATAAAACTACATATCATGGCATGGGGCCCCCATTGACTTTGTTATAAAGTTTGAGTCACTCAGATAGCATAAGAAAACAACATAAACCATGGCAAAATGTGTAGAATTGCAGGAAAGTAGCTTTAAAACAGCAACAACAACAAAAAATCTGCAGCCAAGAGGAGGGCCTGTAAATACTAAGCCCAATTTTGATCCAGAAAAAAACCCTGGAGTGACAAGTTAAAGTATATTTGTAGCATTTAATGCATTCAGAGTTTTTTTTCTTTCTTTTTTCAATGAGGTAAATGCAGATGGGCAACCCCATGCTTCAGCCTATTTATTTAAAACCGCTATGCTGCTCAGCTGGGCTATAGGTTATAATGCTTTTGAAGGGGAAACTATATTTCAGATGGTGTCAACTTAATTACATTTTCATTCATTTTGGAGTACAATGTCCTTTTAAAAAGTCACCAGCAGTGACCTTCTCATAGCCGTCACCAGCAGGTAGCTGGTTGTGATGTTTATGTTTAATCAGGTTCTCACCAGTATAGACGTCCCAGATCTTAATGCGTCCGTTGTTGAGGCCCGTGGCAAGCAGCAGCTGGTCCTGACCGAACTTGAAACGGTGCCACTCGATGTTGACACAGCGACTCTGCTTCTCTGGCACAGACGAGCCGAAGGCCAGGCCCCACACGATGTCACCACAGTCGATGGTGTGCTCCCTGGGCTCGCCCACTGGCACCACTGTTCCCCCCTCGCTGTTCTGCCGCGACAAACGCTGAGGGACTGCTCCGTTGGAGCCTTCCCCACCGCTGGAGAGTGGGATAGAAAGACAGGAAGGAGAGGGGTAATGTGGAAAGACGGGGAGAGAGATGGAGAGGTCAGAAAGAAAAGAAGGAACAGAAAGGGAGGACAGGGAAAGGAGAGGGAGAAAGGTGAGTTACATGTAGGCCGACAGTGCGATGATCACATTACTTGTTAATGTAACGCACCTGAATTAAATTGATCCAGGTGCCAAACAGCTAAAACAATTACGCACATACAGGAGGAGAGCACTGAGTGATATATGCAGTCTAAAGTGGTGAGAGGGTTGGCTAACATGTTCCATGAGTTTCATCATATTGTTAAGAACAATATTATGATGATTATTCCCTATTGGAATTTGGCCTCCAGGTACCCTCTCTAAGGACAGAGGTCACCATAAAGTAGGTCTTAGTAACTGATATCTGGGCCCTTGAGCCATAAAATCAGCCAAATGTATAGTCTATTGAACCTCTAGGTCTCAGCCTTGATTTAATGTTTTGACCCAGGGCAGGGAAGGATGAGACAACGAACAGATAAGGAGGACTATTTAGGTCTGCACTCCCCGCTGGAGGGAGAGAGATCTGCTGCGAACTTCTTAGAGCAGCCTTTCTCAAACCCTGGTCTGTGGAGGAATGCTTGCCGGTCTGCGGCATTTTTTAATCAAATAAATACTTGTCGTAGGCCTACTTGCGCAATGCGCTGAACTATGATGGGATACGGTGCATTCGGAAAGTATTCAGACCGCTTATTCTAAAATGGATTAAATCGTTCCCCCCCCCCCCCCTCATCAATCCACACACAATGACAAAGCAAAAACTGGTTTTTAGAAATGTTTAGAAATGTATTAAAAATAAAAAACTGAAATATCACATTTACATAAGTATTTAGACCCTTTACTCAGTACATTGTTGAAGCACCTTTGGCAGCGATTACAGCCTTGAGTCTTCTTGGGTATGACGCTACAAGTTTGGCACACCTGTATTTGGGGAGTTTCTCCCAATCTTCTCTGCAGATCCTATCAAGCTCTGTCAGGTTGGATGGGGAGCGTCGCTGCACAGCTATTTTCAGGTCTCTCCAGAGATGTTCGATCGGGTTCAAGTCCGGGCTCTGGCTGGGCCACTCAAGGACATTCAGAGACTTGTCCTGAAGACACTCCAGCATTGTCTTGGCTGTGTACTTAGGGTCGTTGTCCTGTTGGAAGGTGAACCTTCGCCCCAGTCTGAGGTTCCTGTGCACTCTGGAGCAGGTTTTCATCAAGGATCTCTCTGTACTTTGCTCCGGTCATCTTTCCCTTGATCCTGACTAGTCTCCCAGTCCCTGCCGCTGAAAAACATCCCCACAGCATGATGCTGCCACCACCATGCTCCGCCGTAAGGATGCTGCCAGGTTTCCTCCAGACGTGACGCTTGGCATTCAGGACAAAGAGTTCAATCTTGGTTGGTCTGAGAGTCCTTTGGGTGCCTTTTGGCAAACTCCAAGCGGGCTGTCATGTGCCTTTTACTGAGGAGTGGCTTCCTTCTGGCCACTCTACCATAAAGGCCTAATTGGTGGAGTGCTGCAGAGATGGTTGTCCTTCTGGAAGCTTCTCCCATCTCCACAGAGGAACTCTGGAGCTCTGTCAGAGTGACCATTGGGTTCTTGGTCACCTCCCGACCAAGGTCCTTCTCCCCCGATTGCTCAGTTTGGCCGGGCAGCCAGCTCTAGGAAGAGTCTTGGTGGTTCCAAACTTCTTCCATTTAAGAATGATGGAGGCCACGGTGTTCTTCAATGCTGCAGAAATGTATGGTACCCTTCCCCAGATCTGTGCCTCGACACAATCCTGTCTCGGAGCGCTACGGACAACTCCTTCGACCTCATGGCTTGGTTTTTAATCTGACATGCACTGTCAACTGTGGGACCTTATACAGACAAGTGTGTGACTTTCCAAATCATGTCCAATCAATGGAAACAGGATGCACCTAAGCTCAATTTTGATCCTCATAGCAAAGGGTCTGAAGACTTATGTAAATAAGTACTTTTTTTTGGTATTATACATTTGCATTATGGGTATTGTGTGTAGATTGATGAGGGGAAAAAACGATTTAATCCATTTTAGAATAAGGCTGTAACGTAACAAAATGTGGAGAGAAAAAAATCAAGGGATCTGAATACTTTCTGAATGCACTGTATATCAATAGAATGAAAGATTCTTTATAAACAAATAACATTCAGTTGTTACATTGTTTTTATTGACTGCACAGGTAATGTGACTGTGTATAATGACTAAATTATATTTTTATTGTTTTGTCATTTACAGACAGACAGACCCTGAAGACAGCCCATTAACAAAGCACAGTGAGAGAGTGACACTGCCCATGAGTACAACACAGACAGATAGACAAACCATGAAGGAAGCCAAGTAAATACATAATTCATTAAATTGAGTACAAAAAATTATAAAGAAAAAGTACATTTCAAAATGCCTTCTTCCTCTGGGGACAAACAAGTTTGAGAAAGGCTGTCTTCCCATATGCATATCTCTGTCTATTAAACCTTTAAATATAGAAGTTGTTCGCGTTATATTTTGCTTCTAGCATATCTCCACACCTTGACCGGTTTTCAATTTCTAACAATATCTCTCCATTAGACAGGACTTGCCTAAACCATTATTGCCTAGTTAACCACAAAAACATCCAATAGGCAAGACAAAACCGTGTACAACATCATGTCTACAAGTTGAAAAGGTTCTGGGGGCGTTATTGTGTGGAAAAAGAGCCAGCTCTGCAGAAAGGCAACTGATAATACACGCCACGTGTCCTTGGCAGCTTGCGCCACAGCACACTGCGCTCTGTTTCCTCCTCACAGGGAGGGATTGCACAAGCAATGAACTACAACTACTAGAATATTCTAGAAAGAGACCAAGAACTCAACTAGAACTGTAAACAACAACAATTTGGACTGTGTCAGAATCTAGAATGAATTTAGAGTTCTGTGGTGTTATAGAATGTTGTGGATATTAGAACACCCGATTGGATGCACCTATGCTTTAGTCTGGCTGACACCTAACTCAAAGTCCTCCTGACTTCAGAGTCTGGAAAAGCTCTTGACGTTGTCAGCACAATGCGTTGATAATGAAGGGGGATGTGCTTTTTTAATTATTAGTTCTCTGTGTCTTTCTCACGCAAAAACCCACATGGACAGCCACATACAGCCCCTGAGCGACGCCCCCTTCCAATACAACTGTTGGATTTTCAAACACAAACAATGTGAGGTCTCAACCCCCCACAACAACAAAAACAATTTCAGAACCAATCAAAACTCAGCAATAATTAAGCACAACTCTGCGCAAATCCTGCATTCACAACAGCCTCCTGTCCACACCAGTGTGAGCGCTCCCTCTCTGACCATGTGAGCCGTATCAGCCAGGCTACCTAGGCCTATTGTTCGACTTAAAAACGAAATAGGCTGTAGCCATGAAATAATGTCAAAGTGCATTTATAGCCCTCAACCTTGTTTTAGTATTGATTTGATGTGTCATTGTTTACAGAAGGGTTTACAGTCTGACATGTAGAAGTTGACTTCATGGCAGTGAACTTTACATTATTTTACAACATAAGGATATAGTAATAAAACCCTAAGCTGCTATGTTTTGCTTTCTCTTGCCAAAGACAAGACCGCTTTTGTAAAAGTTTGACTGCAGTTTACAGCAGTTTTTCTAACGTGCCAAAATGATACGCTAAAATGATAACGCAAGGCCCTTGAGCATATTTCCACTCCTGAATAACAAGAAACAGGGTTTTCTTTCCTTTAACTTTGTTTACACAAAACACCTCATTAATGAATGTCCACTCTATTGAGGGGCATGAACACGATTATTTGGCCTACAATGGGAGTTTTCCCCAACCCTGTTTCACCCTGCAGTGGCCTTTATAAGTGAGCAGTAAGGTGAGATGTACCAGTGCGACCTGTGGAGTGGAGGAGCGCTGAACGGGCCTTAAAACACCAGACAATGTAACAGGCAGGGCAGCCGCCAAATGAATACCCAGTGGGCACCAGCAACACACCAGCACACGCTACAGTCACTGTCTCTCTTGCTCCCCTGCCCTCTATTGCTGTCTCAGCCAAATAGGACTCCACACCAGTCAGTGCATTCATTGCACAAATAAGTTAGGCTATTCAGAAACTCCATTGTTGAATTTCAAAACTCAAAAGGAATTGTTGCCTCTATAGGCCTCCCTCAAAATGTAAACATACCTTTGAAGTAGGGCCTAACCTTTTACTTTCTGATCACAATTGTACAAGCGGAGTACTGACTAAGAATGTGGTTAGACCTAGTACAGGTACTTACAAATTCTTCAGGCATTTTGACCAGGGAACAAGCCTCACGATGCGATGCCCTTGAGACCAAGCGAAGTAGGAACCATCAGGTGCAAAGGCTACAGTCCAGGTCTCTCGCCCGGACTTCTGGTCGAAGGGAGCAACAGGCACTAAGAGTTCACCGATGAACTTAGCCTTACCTGGAAACAGAAACAAGAGAACAGTCAGGGATTGATAGCACAAATAACACAATGACATGGTGCTTGTGAGCAACATCTCAATGACAGTGTAGAAAAGATGCTTCGGGCCCAACTGACCTTAGCCTGGTGGAACCAGCCTTATCACTGCGTTCCTCATTCTATTTCACCAGCCTGGTGTCTGCATTCATTGACACAGATCAGGCTGGTTCCACCAGGTTAAACTGACCTCTGGTGTAGCTGTATATAAAGGTTCAATGTCAGAACTGATGCTTAAAATTATTTTTACTGAGAGATTCTTAGAGTCAAGACTGTTTTGTTATTTGACATACATTTCCGTCATTTAGCAGACGCTCTTATCCAGAGCTACTTACAAATTGGTGCAATCACCTTATGATAGCTAGTGGGATAACCACTTTACTTTTTTTTTTTTTATTATTATTATTATTTTTATATATTTTTATATATATATTTTGTGGGGGTGGGGTAGGGGGGGTAGAAGGATTACAAATGTTCAGCCCAAATAACGTATTTTAACTGGGTACCATAAACATATGGTTGGCCAAGTAAATGAGACATCATATATCACTTTGATTTATTACGCAACTGAGGTGATGCAACAAAACACCCGTTTTATAAAACAGCTAGCGTACGTGAGATATCAGTGCGCTCCCCCGACTAGTGAGGAATGAGTCATACTGCAGAAACCACCACAGAAGGACATGGAAAACAAAGTGTGCCGACTGCTCGCGCTGTGTGTGTGCAGAGTTTCTACCATACTGTCTTTGGTGTGGGGCCACTGACTGAGTATAAACGGTGGGGGCAGGGTGAATATGGGCAGACGGTTAGTGTGTTTCTAGTCTGGTTAATAGGATATAGGTTATGGAAGAAACGACTTGACCCTACAATCGAAAATAAATAAAGTAAGACTACTTATGGCGTCATCGACAGATAAAAGGTGTAAAATAGTAGCTAGCTAGGCAATACATCTTAACTAGCTAGCTAAATATTCACACGTTTGCAACCCCTCCCCAAACAACACAACAGAGCAAGATAGTGAAAAGGATCTCAACTTACCTATTTCATTTTCTTTTACAGAATCTGGGAAGCTTGCCATCTAAATAGAAACCGGATCCGTAGAGAAAAGCCTATTGGTTTAATAGCAATGGTTTTGGGGGAAAATAAAAAGTAGCTAACTAGCTATATAATTAGCTAGCCAGCGAGAAAACGGGATTATATTCCGACGTCTGGAATGTTGTGCTGTGCACGTAGCCTGCTGCTAATTTTAATATCGCGTGAGCCCAAAAAAAGCAATTATTTTTTACAATTATCCTTTTTACAATCCGTGTGCAGACTAGGTTTTGTTCAGCTGGATGGCTAAAACCTGCGTTTATTGAAATCCACGAAATTACTGTGTTACACCACACCGCTGAATACAGACGACAACGTTCAAATACAATGGCTGAAGAGTAGACTGGATGGCATCTTTTCATTCAATAGGGGAGGTCTCTCTGAGTGCGAGAGCTTTCCGACATACGTAATCACAGTTACCATGGTGATAAAATGGCACCTCCCCTTCATTTGTAAGCGTTTTCATGTTTCCCTCTCATTTATCACCATTGATATACAGTATTTATCTCTTACTGTGCACAGTTCCATTGCAACGGCAAATGGTATATATCACAAATATGTTATATTTCAAACCAGAACTCCTTTTCTGTTGAAGCGAAAAGCTGTGTGTGGGGGGAAACAAACTCAAATGTGCATATTTTACATTGGGGGGATGGTACACATCATGACATGACACACGTTTGTGTCAATGGTCACATGTGACCTTTACCGTTCATAAAACAAGAATGTCACTATACCAAAGATTGTTTATACTGCACCTATATTCCTTTCGGACTGTAACAAGAAAGGTGTGCAACCGGTGCACTATAGTATCTATTCCCAAAATGTTTTGTCTTAGCTAGAAACATTTCACTTCAAATCTAGCTCATGAAAGTCCTAGGTCTTTCTCTCTCTTCAAACAGATAGGCCTCACCAGGAGCATGATGTTGAGCCATAACAGTACATTTCACGAGTCAGTTGTGACAATCTTGTCTAAGGGATTGATACAAACAACTTTAATGAGCAGAATCGGTTAATAAATCTTTACAAATGTAACACAATCACATCAGACAGGGTACAACACAATTTGATTATTTCAATAGCTATAAGAAACTTTCTTAAAGTGTAAGAAAAATCTGATCCAGTAATCAATTTTGAGTAAAACAATCACTTAAAAGAACCTTAAACATATTTTGTGGGGAGAAAATGGCTTCTGACCTTGTCCTTCCAAAATATGACACAAACAAACACATTTTGAATCATACACATTCTGAAGTTCTTTAAATGTATTTCAGTTTTGATAATGAGCAACGCTTTTCGTATGTTTGACCTACATTGACTGGTAGGATTGGCTACAGTCCTGTCCAGAAACAGATCTACAAAAATGGTTTATATGGGCTATAGGGGTTGTTTCTGGACAGGCCACACAGATCTCAATGAGTTCCATACAAAAGAGGCTGAAAACCATCAGGCCTGTGGTGGTAGTTCTTCAAAGTAAATATGGCATACATTCTTATGATAGGGTTATGAGCCATAGAAGATTGCAGGCTCATGAATGCATTGTAAACAAGCATGTTGTCTGCTAGTACTGGCCTAATTTCTATTCATGCACATTCATCATGAAGCATATCACCCTGTCTGGCACACATACAGTACAATAGAATAATCTGTACTAAGAAACATCTCAACAACAAAAATCATTGACCAAGCATTTGTGGTGCTGTGTGTCTATTGGTCAGAAAAAGGTTAAAAGGTTAAACAGTGAGAAATTACTTTGAGTATGCTCTTTACCGTACAACAACTAGGCCTATATGCACATTTTTGGTCTATCGCACAGGTCCAGCATTTGAAATGTCTGGCCACCAAAATGATATTTGAAGCTTCTGATGGAATAAACTACCATCCTAGATTCTTAATTGTGCTTTTACCAAGTCGGACAAATTGGAAATGGAAGAACAGTAGAAAGAAGATGGTAACTTCCCTGAGAGGATTACGTATCTACAAGTTTCTATGAGCAGCCATCAAACATCAAGCCATTTTTAAATCACATCACAAAACCATGCAGACGAGTGTAGCCCTGGACAGTGCAATAACAAAACTGCACTCATGTACAGATGTCAATCAAAAGCCTGGAACTGAAGATACAAAACATAACATTTTCACTTCTCTTTTCTGAAAAGAACAAATCTAAGCAATAGACCAATGGAGTGCAAGCACTTGGTGACTAACTGATATCATGTAATGTTGGAATAGACAGACATAGACCTGCTGACTGGTCCGTGGGTGAAACGTCACAGGCTTTTGTAAACAAACATAACCTGCGTCTTGTCATTGATGCTCCCTCGGTTGCTGCAGATATGAGTTAGAATGTCTTCTATGGAAATAAATGAAAGCACTCCAATATCATGGGGTGACATTTGAAACAGTCTGGTACAGTAAGAGCTATATATATTTTTTTTATAAAAGCCCATTTTAAATACCTATATAGATATGTGTGAATAGCATGACAGTAACAATGAAGGTAAATTGATAGTCTGATGGCAGTTTGAGTAAGCTTGATAATGGTGCCCCCTATCTGTTGTTTAATAACAGTACAAATGATTGGGTAACATTATGGCAGTGTGGCAAATCTTTTTCATTATGGAATGGGCAATAAACTCCTTTTATTGGCAAATATTTTTAGAGAGTTTGTGAAGACCTGTATGAGAAGTGCTGAGAGCAAAACTAACAAACAAGAAAATTACAACACACAGAAATTGTCTAAGGAACAAAATTCCAAACCCAATCCATAACATCAACAGACTTCAAAAGGAACACTGAAAGGGTCGGTTTCAGCCTCCCTTCACACAATCAATACTTTAACTTTCTCCGTATGTACAACAAACAGACCTATCACCAATGTCAACATCCCTGACAGAGAAGGGGTTAAAACATGTATAATTCCTGAATCAAGGAAAATTTGTAAATGGGTGATTTGATTTGAACCATCTTAAATTTCAATAGTAAAAACGTAAGTTTCAATACTTTTCAATCGTGGATACATCATAATTTGAGAGGTAGCAAATCAACTATTTACATGTAAATCCATTTTAGAAGTTAGAGTGGATGAATTGGTGTGTTCCAATTCCCCACCCTTCTCCCCAAAGTGCACTTGGCTTGCTCACTCTTACGAATCAATTGTAAAACATTGGATTCTTATAAGCATGGAGGAGGGAGTTGCCACCATATTTCCTACACCAGTTGGTCCCTTCCTTTTTAACGATTGTGAGCAAAGAGCACACTTCGGGTAGAAGGCTTCAGAATCAGACTGCAGCCGGTAATAATTTCCAATAGTTGGGAAATTGACGGATCAACGTGAAACCTTGCGAATCAGCTAGTGGCTCAAAGGGTTGATTTTAAATCTACCTCGACTGTCTGTTGAAGCTCATATCACAGCACAGGTCATCATCAGCCTTCTCTTTTCTACCGATACATCCAACAGCATCTTTAATCAAGATCAATGCCAGTCCTCACAGAGGCATCATCCATATCATGTTCTGCTCTGCTTGCTCCATACCCAACACTTCACATTACAAGCGGTTCATTCCCAATACACCACATAACAAAACATGTTTATCAACAATGTGCACATATCACTGGCATATTATATAGTTATATTATTGTGTACTTATTAATAATACTGGAATTCAGCAATATGCGCCCCTCCTTACTCTCAACAAGATTGGGTTAGAATATAAATGCTGTATTGAAAAAGGCATGAGAGTAGATACAGTTGAAGTCGGAAGTTTACATACACTTAGGTTGGAGTCATTAAAACTTGTTTTTCAACCACTCCACAATTGTCTTGTTAACAAACTATAGTTTTGGCAAGTCGGTTAGGACATCTACTTTGTGCATCACACAAGTAATTTTTCCAACAATTGTTTACAGACAGATTATTTCACTTATAATTCACTGTATCACAATTCCAGTGGGTCAGAAGTTTACATACACTACGTTGACTGTGCCTTTAAACAGCTTGGAAAATTCCAGAAAATGTCATGGCTTTAGAAGCTTCTGATAGGCTAATTGACATCATTTGAGTCAATTGGAGGTGTACCTGTGGATGTATTTCAAGGCCTACCTTCAAACTCAGTGCCTCTTTGCTTGACATCATAGGAAAATCAAAAGAAATCAGCCAAGACCTCAGAAAAAAAATTGTAGACCTCCACAAGTCTGGTTAATCTTTGGGAGCAATTTCGAAACGCCTGAAGGTACCACGTTCATCTGTACAAACAATAGTATGCAAGTATAAACACCATGGGACCACGCAGCCGTCATACCGCTCAGGAAGGAGACGCGTTCTGTATCCTAGAGATGAACGTACTTTGGTGTGAAAAGTGCAATTCAATCCCAGAACAAGAGCAAAGGACCTTGAGAAGATGCTGGAGGAAACAGGTACAAAGGTATCTATATCCACAGTAAAACGAGTCCTATATCGACATAACCTGAAAGGCCGCTTAGCAAGGAAGAAGCCACTGCTCCAAAACCTCCATAAAAAAGCCAGACTACGGTTTGCAACTGCACATGGGGACAAATATCGTACTTTTTGGAGAAATGTCCTCTGGTCTAATGAAACAAAAATATAACTGTTTGGCCATAATGACCGTCGTTATGTTTGGAGGAAAAAGGGGGTGGCTTGCAACCGAAGAACACCATCCCAACCGTGAAGCACGGGGGTGGCAGCATCATGCTGTGGGGGTGCTTTGCTTCCGAAGGGACTGGTGTACTTCACAAAATAGATGGCATCACGAGGAAGGAAAATTATGTGGATATATTGAGGCAACATCTCAAGACATCAGTCAGGAAGTTAAAGCTTGGTCGCAAATGGGTCTTCCAAATGGACAATGACCACAAGCATACTTCCAAAGTTGTGCCAAAATGGCTTAAGGACAACAAGGTCAAGGTATTGGAGTGGCCATCACAAAGCCCTGACCTCAATCCTATAGACAATTTTGTGGGCAAAACTGAAAAAGCATGTGCGAGCAAGGAGGCCTACAAACCTGACTCAGTTACACCAGCTCTGTCAGGAGGAATGGGCCAAAATTCACCCAACTTATTGTGGGAAGCTTGTGGAAGGCTACCCGAAACGTTTGACCCAAGTTAAACAATTTAAAGGCAATGCTACCAAATACTAATTGAGTGTATGTAAACTTCTGACCCACTGGGAATGTGATGAAAGAAATAAAATCTGAAAGAAATCATTCTCTCTACTATTATTCTGACATTTCACATTCTTAAAATAAAGTGGTGATCCTAACTGACCTAAAACAGGGAATTTTTACTAGGATTAAATATCAGGAATTGTGAAAAACTGAGTTTAAATGTATTTGGCTAAGGTGTATGTAAACTTCCAACTTCAACTGTATATATGGCAGTCAGTGTAGCTTGAGGGATATTTCAGTTCAAATGAAATCTTAAGAAGTTTGTCAGAGTTCCTGAAATGGGATTAAAGGGAACGCTTGGCATTTAGCTACACTGACACAACAATATGGGATGAAATATGACCCGCTAGGAACAAGTGACTATTTTGACAGGTTGGAATGCCTCTTTGATATAGGGGGGTGCAGCAGAAGGGTTTATTGACATGTGAGCAGGGCAACTTGAATAACAACCCCTTGACTGACGCACACAGATCTGATGATATCATCTCGTCAAATTGCCCCAAGGCAACTCCAGATTTACAAGGTGGGGTCGACTGTAATGTTGAATGTAATGTTAGGTTCTCTGTTTACAAGTTGTTTCTGTGTCCTGAACTTTCAGGAAAAAGGAACAATGGGATTGAACTTGGATTGAGCTGTGATTCTACTTGAGGTGTTGTTTAAAAACGTGCAACATCATCACTGGTTACTGTCTGTTTAAAACTGTGACCAAATGGGCATAGCAACAAATGGGTAATGGGAGTGAACATGGTTTATTATGGGACATTTCAGAGGTGCTTGTGCACACTTTGGCTCTGGAGTGACCTATCCCAGCCATATAAGAGAGATTCGACTGGTAACACTAGATGAGTCCATTTGGTAAGATCATCATCACCAAGGCTGCCATGCCTTCAGCAATGGGGATTAAAGGGAGCTGATACAAAAAAATACAGAACAGTCAAAAGACTAATGCATCTGCCCTTTACATATGAAATCATATATTAACTAAGAGTTATGATACAGAGATTATAATGGTAATCCAATGCGGTTATGAACAGTCAGAGTTAAGGAGAGGTGGTGTGTGGATAGCAGTCTGCTTCTTCTCCTCCTGGGCGAGGGGGTGGTCCCAGGTCATTCTGGGCCTGGGATTGGCTGGTCTGTGTTAGGGGAGGGAGGAGCCAAAGTATTACTTGGCCACCAGCCATGGGTCATTCTGCTGTCACCATGGAAACACTGATGTGGTGCAGCCTTGGAGGATCTGAAATGGAGGTGACATGTTTGTCAGATTACAGTCAAAACGCCCATCTATAGCTCAGCTGGTAGAGCATGGCGCTTGTAACGCCAGGGTAGTGGGTTCGATCCCTGGGACCACGCATACACAAAAAAATTATGCACGCATGACTGTAAGTCGCTTTGGATAAAAGCGTCTGTAAAATGGCATATTATTATTATTATTATAAACAAAGGATTTATTTCAACCAGGGGGCCCTACATTCAATGGCGAAATTTCCACATTCTGAAATTGCATTTTTGTCTCCCCCAGTTTTATCATTGAAATATGATACAAAACAAGGCAACGGTGTGCTTTAGGAACATGCGGATGCCTCCAAGCGGTCAGGTAGGCTGTTTGGAGTGTTTATCCGACTGGATAAAAAAATATATATATATATATTATGTCCCCCCCCACTTCTAAAACCAAAGTGACGCCCCTGATTTCAACAACCCCCCTCCCCCTAATAATGGTTGATTAGAGCAGTTATAGTAGTTACACAGAGTAAAGCCATACAATTCCCAACAGGGAAGAACACAGGTTTTCACCATGACAACGGCTCCTTGTGTGGCACATTGTCTTCCTGAGTGTCTGATCTTCTGGGCTGGCCATCTTCTGGGCTTCCCTCCACATCCTCCAGGAGGTTGGCTGTGGAGTTGGCTGTGCCCAGTCTTAGAGGGGCTATGGTCAAGGGAAAAACCTAAAGAACTGGATATTGATACATACAGTGCATTCAGAAAGTATTCAGACCTCTTGACTTTTTCCACATCTTGTTACGTTACAGCCTTATTCTGAAATTGATTAAATTGTCCACCCCCCTCATCAATCTACACACAATACCCCATAATGACAAAGCAAAAACTGGTTTTTAGAAATTTTTGCAAATGTATAAAAAATACAAAACGGAAATAACACATTTACATAAGTATTCAGACCCTTTACTCAGTACTTTGTTGAAGCACCTTTGGCAGCGATTACAGCCTCGAGTCTTCTTGGGTATGACGCTACAAGCTTGACACACCTGTATTTGGGGAGTTTCTCCCATTCTTCTCTGCTGCACAGCTATTTTCAGGTCTCTCCAGAGATGTTTGATCGGGTTCAAGTCCGGGCTCTGGCAGGGCCAATTGATAAAAATAAAAAACAAACAGAAATACCTTATTTACATAAGTATTCAGACCCTTTGCTATGAGACTCGAAATTAAGCTCAGGTGCATCCTGTTTCCATTGATCATCCTTGAGATGTTTCTACAACTTGATTGGAGTCGACCTATGGTAAATTCAATTGATTGGACATGATTTGGAAAGGCACACACCTGTCTATATAAGGTCCCACAGTTGACATTGCATGTCAGAGCAAAAACCAAGCCATGAGGTCGAAGGAATTGTCCGTAGAGCTCTGAGACAGGATTGTGTTGAGGCACAGATCTGGGGAAGGGTACCAAAACATTTCTGCAGTATTGAAGGTCCCCAAGAACACAGTGGCCTCAATCATTCTTAAATGCAAGAAGTTTGGAACCACCAAGACTCTTCCTAGAGCTGGCCTCCCGGCCAAACAGCAATCGGGGGAGAAGGGCCTTGATCAGGGAGGTGACCAAGAACCCGATGGTCACTCTGACAGAGCTCTAGAGTTCCTCTGTGGAGATGGGAGAACTTTCCAGAAGGACAACCATCCATGCAGCACTCCACTAATTAGGGCTTTATGGTAGAGTGGCCAGACGGAAGCCACTCCTCAGTAAAAAGCACACGACAGCCCACTTGGAGTTTTGCCAAAAGGCACCTAAAGACTCTCAGACCATGAGAAACAAGATTCTCTGGTCTGATGAAACCAAGATCGAACTCTTTGGCCTGAATGCCAAGTGTCACGTCTGGAGGAAACCTGCCACCATCCCTACGGTGAAGCATGGTGGTGGCAGCATCTTGTTTTGGGGATGTTTTTCAGCGGCAGGGACTGGGAGACTAGTCAGGATCGAGGCAAAGATGAACAGAGCAAAGTACAGAGAGATCCTTGATAGAAACCTGTTCCAGAGCGCTCAGGACCTCAGACTGGGGTGAAGGTTCACCTTCCAACAGGACAACGACCCTAAGCACACAGCCAAGACAACGCAGGAGTGGCTTCGGGACAAGTCTCTGAATGTCCTTGAGTGGCCCAATCAGAGCCTGGACTTGAACCTGATCGAACATCTCTGGAGAGACCTGAAAATAGCTGGCAGCGACGCTCCCCATCCAACCTGACAGAGCTTGAGAGGATCTGCAGAGAAGATTGGGAGAAACTCCCCAAATACAGGTGTGTCAAGCTTGTAGCGTCATACCCAAGAAGACTCGAGGCTGTAATCGCTGCCAAAGGTGCTTCAACAAAGTACTGAGTAAAGGGTCTAAATACTTACGTAAATGTGATATTTCAGTTGTTTATTTTTTATAAATTAGCAACAATTTCTAAAAACCAACTTTTGCTTTGTCTTTATGGGGTATGAGGGAAAAAAATCAATTTTAGAATAAGGCTGTAACCTAACAAAATAGAGAAAAAGTCATGGGGTCTGAATACTTGAACATTGAGTTCTATAAAAAGCCATCATTGTCCAATGTTTCTGATGGGAAATTAGAATTGACTGTTAATGAAGGATACGACTGGTGCTTCAGGAGCGTTCTTCTTTTTAACTTTCTTCTCTTAGTCTTGTCAGAGAATGATCTGGCGATTTCAAACAGCTTCTTTCTTGTTGCTAGGTATGAGAGACGACAACAGTATCATCACAAAATAAATTACCGGAACAAAGGATTGTAAAAAGGGTTTGCCTAAGTATGCTGTTCTCTTGATTGAGTTAGTTAACTGGCCATTGCTAGAGAGACACAGGGGATGGTAATAATGTGTATTGAGTGGCCTGCCGGTAGAGGATGCCTTACATTTGCCCATGTGTTTGAGTTTGTCTCTGAACATGGCATCATCTGACACAGCAGTACAAGCCTCTATCGACCCTGATGCACAGCGCTCTCCTGAAACAAAGAGAGAAGTCGTAAAACACACTAACATAAACATATTATGCACACACACACCAAAACAACATGTGCTCACACATACTGTACAAACACAGGAACACACATGCGCAAATGATAATGAACCTGAGTAGGGAACCAACAATTTATTTCAACCATTTTTTATTTCACCATGTACAGTCTTAATTGGTGACTATAGTCCTCGTAGAAAAAATTATCCGGGCACTTTAAGACTTTATGGAATCTAAACTAAACTTTTTTTTTTTTACTATGGAACAAAGATAAATGATATAAAGAATGATAGTAAAATGCTCTGGAGTACCTTAAATGAAATTCTAGGCAAAAAAAGCTAACTCAGCTCCAACCGTCATTGAGGCAGATGGCTTGTTCATAACAAAACCCTTTGATATTGCCAACCACTTCAATAACTTTTTTGTTAACAAGATTTGCAAACGTAGGCATTACATGCAAACAACAAACGCTGAGCCCTCATATTCATGCATAACGGACAAAATACTGCAAGTCAAGCACTGTAGTTTTGAGTTCCGCAAAGATGGTGTGGAAGAGGTGAAAAAATTGTTGCCATCTATAAATAAGGACAAGCCATCCAGTACCGACAACATGGATGGTAAATTGCTGAAGTTGATAGAGGAATACGTGTTTGCTCCTGTCTGCCACATTTTAAATTTAAGCCTAGAAGACGGTGTGTGCCCTCAGGACTGAAGGGAGGCAAAGGTCATTCCGCTGCCCAAGAATAGCAATATCTCAAACTAAATGCATAGTTTTTGGGCCAAATCACCCAGTCAACCCCAAACCATATCTTGGATCTATTGCTATCAAGCTAGCAATAAAACCATATTTAAAAACCAGATAAAAGAAAACCTTACAGAACGACGGGGACTGTGAAGAGACAGACATTTAAAAAATATACAGTGGGGAGAACAAGTATTTGATACACTGCCGATTTTGCAGGTTTTCCTACTTACAAAGCATGTAGAGGTCTGTAATTTTTATCATAGGTACACTTCAACTGTGAGAGACGGAATCTAAAACAAAAATCTATAAAATCACATTGTATGATTTTTAAGTAATTAATTTGCATTTTATTGCATGACATAAGTATTTGATACATCAGAAAAGCAGAACTTAATATTTGGTACAGAAACCTTTGTTTGCAATTACAGAGATCATACGTTTCCTGTAGGTCTTGACCAAGTTTGCACACACTGCAGCAGGGATTTTGGCCCACTCCTCCATACAGATCTTCTCCAGATCCTTCAGGTTTCGGGGCTGTCGCTGGGCAATACGGACTTTCAGCTCCCTCCAAAGATTTTCTATTGGGTTCAGGTCTGGAGACTGGCTAGGCCACTCCAGGACCTTGAGATGCTTCTCACGGAGCCACTCCTTAGTTGCCCTGGCTGTGTGTTTCGGGTCGTTGTCATGCTGGAAGACCCAGCCACGACCCATCTTCAATGCTCTTACTGAGGGAAGGAGGTTGTTGGCCAAGATCTCGCGATTCATGGCCCCATCCATCCTCCCCTCAATACAGTGCAGTCGTCCTGTCCCCTTTGCAGAAAAGCATCCCCAAAGAATGATGTTTCCACCTCCATGCTTCACGGTTGGGATGGTGTTCTTGGGGTTGTACTCATCCTTCTTCTTCCTCCAAACACGGCGAGTGGAGTTTAGACCAAAAAGCTCTATTTTTGTCTCATCATACCACATTACCTTCTCCCATTCCTCCTCTGGATCATCCAGATGGTCATTGGCAAACTTCAGACTGGCCTGGACATGCGCTGGCTTGAGCAGGGGGACCTTGCGTGCGCTGCAGGATTTTAATCCATGACGGCGTAGTGTGCTACTAATGGTTTTCTTTGAGACTGTGGTCCCAGCTCTCTTCAGGTCATTGACCAGGTCCTGCCGTGTAGTTCTGGGCTGATCCCTCACCTTGCTCATGATCATTGATGCCCCACGAGGTGAGATCTTGCATGGAGCCCCAGACCGAGGTTGATTGACCGTCATCTTGAACTTCTTCCATTTTCTAATAATTGTGCCAACAGTTGTTGCCTTCTCTCCAAGCTGCTTGCCTATTGTCCTGTAGCCCATCCCAGTGCAGGTCTACAATTTTATCCCTGATGTCCTTACACAGCTCTCTGTTCTTGGCCATTGTGGAGAGGTTGGAGTCTGTTTGATTGAGTGTGTGGACAGGTGTCTTTTATACAGGTAACGAGTTCAAACAGGTGCAGTTAATACAGGTAATGAGTGGAGAACAGGAGGGCTTCTTAAAGAAAAACTAACAGGTCTGTGAGAGCCGGAATTCTTACTGGTTGGTAGGTGATCAAATACTTATGTCGTGCAATAAAATGCAAATTAATTACTTAAAAATCATACAATGTGATTTTCTGGATTTTTGTTTTAGATTCTGTCTCTCACAGTTGAAGTGTACCTACATGCTTTGTAAGTAGGAAAACCTGCAAAATCGGCAGTGTATCAAATACTTGTTCTCCCCACTGTATATTTTGTATTATGTAGTGTTATGTATATTATTTGTTGTGTTTTGTTTTCTGGCAGCGGCTAATTGGGGATCCTAATAAAATACTAAATGAATCAGTCCAGAGAAAGCTATTTATCGTGTCAACAACTACTTGGAGAAGCTTTCGCCATACCCAGTGGTAGCAAGCGATAAAGATCGGTGGCTAGATATGGGACATGTTACAGTGATGTTATCAAAACAACCCCAAGTCATTGAAATGAGTAGGCCTATTGTGTGTTTGAATAAGAATGCACACACACATGCGCAAACACATGCACACCCACCTTTACTGTTGAAGCTTATGAATGATATCTACCTGCTGTGGAATTCTCCATGTAAGCAGATGAATGATTGGACTTGGATTTCTTTGATTCATACTTCAAGCGATCTAAAACAGAGAGAGCTGGATGTTATGATGCAATATGTGACAAACAGCAGCATCTAATGTGCACTATTGTTAAGAAACCTTTATGAAAGTGGCACATGGTTCCCAAATGTTTACTATTGTAGGATGAAGCATCATGAGATACTACACAAGGGACGTTGCAACTAACATAGCATGAAAGAGAGAGGAGCATTTTCAACAGTGGCTGACTTGCTCCGTAGAAAGCATAAACGTGACTACTGTACTAGCCTACTGTGTCCTGAACATGTATTCAGTGTGTTAAAAGTATATCATGGAGGTGACCATGTATGCCTATCTGTGCATGACACACACCTCTCTCCAGGGCGACGAGAAACTCGCGGTTGCGCTGCAGCTCCCTCATGAACTCCTCGTTCTGGAGGAACAGGGCAATGCGCTCATCATCCAGGTACTGTTTCAGTTTACGCTCCTGCTCCGTGCCTTCCCCCTCCGCACCCCCGGCACCGCCTGGCCCTCCAGGGGTCCCTAGGGCTCCACCAGCCCCTGGCCTGGAGACACCTCCCTGGGCCGTCCGCTGGGCGATGGAGGACAAAGAGGAGGAGGAAGAAACAGGCTGGGACAGACTGCTCTGTGAGGAGGAGAGGAGAAAGAGACGTTGAATTTAGTTGCTATTGATTTCTGTAAGCAGCTGTTCATGATGATGTCATACTGCTAATGTTTTTTTGTGTGTGTGTGGTTTTCTTCACATCCACTGTGTACCTGTATACTGTCCAGTTGCTGTGGCAAGATCCGCAGGAAATCATCTGGCAGGTTGCCAAGCAACGGCGGATTCCAGTTCCTGTAGCTGCGGACCTGCCGGTGACCTGGAGGTGGCTGAGCCTCGAACCTAAGTCAGACAAGGGTCAAAAGGTTAGGGTCAGACTAGATAGATGCATATGCCATGTCATACTAGAATAAAACTAAATAATAATAATAATATTATTATTATTAAATATGATTATAGATGCATATGCCATGTCATACTAGAATAAAACTAAATGCACACATCATACATTGTGTACTGGTGCTGTGAAAAGTAAGCAATGCATGAAAACACAAATAATGAATGTCTGTTTGTCTTTACAATAAATAAAATCACCTTTGAGCAGCAATCACCACATTTAATACATTACTTTGTACAGTCCAAGAAGCCAATAATTGTGAATCTCTCAGCTGGTGGTGTGAAGCAGAAGAAATGTGGACATGGTCTTGAATAAAAAAAATCATGGACACTTGGGCTTGAAGCAAATTCAATTACATGGAGGTTTGTTATTAACTAGTCCAGTGATACACAGGCACCAATTACACAAACACACCAGCTGGCGACAGCATTGCAGTTCTTAAAACGGCCACCAGGTGGAGCCATGACTAACAATAAGAGCATGTGGTCAGCTGTGATATCCACAGATCCCAGCTCCTAATTCAGAGCATGTAAATCCCAGGGCCCCATAGGACCACTTCCTCTGTTCCTCTGGGCTTTAAAGAGTACAGGCTAGGGGACTGCATGTGAACAAAAGGTCCTGTTGGGTTTTTAAAAACATGCATCCTTCCTTCCTCCCTTTCATAAAGTAATCAGTGTTCATGTTCGAGATGCACATATTCTATACAGGATTAAAGGATTACCATAGACAGACGACTAATAGGTTAAACTCTTCTCCGGGCATTGTGTAGATCTGTTGAACTGTACAGTATAGTACAGAGGAGGAGATATAAGAGGACAGGCTCATTGTATTAGCTGGAATGGAATGGTACCAAACACAAACACATGGAAACAAGTTACAACGTGTTTGACTCAATTCTTTCCATTCCAGCCATTACAATGAGCCTGTCCTCCTATAGCTCTTCCTACCAGCCTCCTCTGATAATATGACAATTTACCTTGGTGGAGGAGTGGGCGGGGCCTCTGGGTACTTCCTGTCGTAGATGTGCATGTCATAAGTGGGCGGTGAGTAGACGGGAGGCGGTTCCTCGTCGGAACTGTCCGGTTCTAATGTCCGCTCCAGAATCTGGCCCAGGGAATGGAGGAGACCAAGACAGAGTATGTTCCTAATCAATAACATTAATACACATTTACCCATTTAAAATCAGTCATGTCAGTAAGATAAATCATTTCAGTTTTAAGAGAGGAACTGGTTGGGTTAGTCTCTGATAAGATAACTGGAGCACACAAACAGCACTACTTTCAGGCATTACGGCTGCCTTTACTGTTTATATTCTAGTGAGACAAGATGAGTTGCAGTTCCTTTATTTTTGATGTGTGGTAGTGGTACACAATGCATGATTTATTATTGATTAATACCTAGACTACAACAAGAACAGAAGGGAGAGAGGCCAGTAGGCCAGCAGAGGATGTGGCGCAGGGGTCCCCAATTACATTCAGCCGTGGGCCAATTATTCCTTGAGCGGATGGTCGGGGAGCCAGATCATAGTTATAAATAATTTGTACACTGCAAATTGACCGCAAGAATCCATCTCAGTTTTTGACAAAAACTGAATCATTTCAAAACTTGATTACATTTGGGATATGCCTCTCTATTTATGCGTGGGAATACTTGGGAACATAAACTACAGGTCAAAGGTTTTAGAACAGCTACTCATTCAAGGGTTTTAATTTATTTATACTATTTTCTACATTGTAGAATAATAGTGAAGACATCAAAACTCTGAATTAACACAAATGGAATCATGTAGTAACAAAAAAAGGTGTTAAAAAAATCTAAATGTATTTTATATTTGAGATTCTTCAAATAGCCACCCTTTGCCTTGATGACGGCTTCGCCTGGAATGCTTTTCCAACAGTCTTGAAGGAGTTCCCACATATGCTGAGCACTTATTGGCTGCTTTTCCTTTACTCTGCAAACCATCTCAATTGGGTTGAGGTCGGGGGATTGTGGAGGCCAGGTCATCTGATGCAGCACTCCATCACTCTCCTTCTTGGTAGAATAGCCCTTACACAGCCTGGAGGTGTGTTGGGTCATTATCCTGTTGAAAAACAAATGATCGTCCCACTAAGCCCAAACCAGATGGGATATCGCTGCAGAATGCTGTGGTAGCCATGCTGGTTAAGTGTCCCTTTAATTCTAAATAAATCACAGACAGTGTCACCAGCAAAGCACCCCCACACCATAACACCTCCATGCTTTACGGTGGGAAATACAAAATGCGGAGATCATCCGTTCACCCACACCACGCCTCACAAAGACACGGCGGTTGGAACCAAAAATCTCAAATTTGGACTCCAGACCAAAGGACACATTTCCACCGGTCTAATGTCCATTGCTCATGTTTCTTGGCCCAAGCAAGTCTCTTCTTCTTATTGGTGTCCTTTAGTAGTGGTTTCTTTGCAACAATTCGACCATGAAGGCCTGATTCACACAGTCTCCTCTGAACAGTTGATGTTGATTGGTTTTGCGACTGCACTTGAAGAAACTTCTTGAAATGTCCGTATTGACTGACCTTTATGTCTTAAAGTAATGATGGCTGTCGTTTCTCTTTGCTTATTTGAGCTGTTCTTGCCATAATATGGACTTGGTCTTTTACCAAATAGGGCTATCTTCTGTATACCCACCCTACCTTGTCACAACACAACTGATTGGCTCAAACGCATTAAGAAGGAAAGAAATTCCACAAATTAACTTTTAAGACGGCACACCTGTTAATTGAAATGCATTCCAGGTGACTACCTCATGAAGCTGGTTGAGAGAATGCCAGGAGTGTGCAAAGCTGTCATCAAGGCAAAGGGTGGATATTTGAAGAATCTCAAATATAACATATTTTGATTTGTTTAACACTTTTTTGGTTACTACATGATTCCATATGTTATTTCATAGTTTTGATATCTTCACTATTATTCTTCACTATTGGCCGGTAGTGTATTTCCTAAATAAAAATCATTTTGAGCTAAGCTTCGACAATATACTGTATACCGGGGTATTTAGACATACCGTCAGCGCGTACTACGCTACTGCTTATAACTAACTATAGGTTAACTATCTTAGATGTGCCAAATAAATTACATCTAGCTCAGGACTACAGCTTTGCATTTGGTTTGCTAACTTGCTAGCTAAGTGGCCTAGACGGCAAGATCAAGCTTCTTGGTTACAGCAGAAAAAAAAATCCATCCCTTTCTTGGATCAAGATCTATGTTGCCCAATTTATATTCTTTAAGATATAGCCGATGTGAGGAAGACCTTTAAACAGGTTAACATTGACAAGGCCACGGTTCCAGACGGAATACCAGGATGCGTACTCGACCAGCTGGCAAGGATCTTCACTACGGCGTCTCAAGATGGACAAACAGTACCATTGCCATTTTTATTTCTTTTTTCAAGCAAAGGGAGAAAGCGACCCTGCACTGACTGACCTCTGGTGGGATGCTGTCATCGGAGTCAGAGCTGTCATCTGATCCCTCTCCATCGATACTCATCTGGAGGAGCTGGTCGATGGTGGCGTCCACCGCCCCGTTGTTGGAACGCAGGACACACTCGATGACCTCGTAATCCATGGTGGGGAACATGATCTTGAAGTCCTCCATGGCCTGGTTGAACTCCAGGCGCCGGACCTGTCGGTTAGGCCGGCTGTTGTTAAGCTCTCCTGGGGTAGAACCACCGCCGCCTCCCCCTCCTCCTCCTCCACCTCCCCTGGAGCCTCCATTACTGCTGCTGCGCCTGAACAGGCTGGTCATCCTGCTACCCTGACTGGTGCTACCACCTAGGGGTTAGGAGAGCGCCTAGACACTCACCTCGCACCCTCACTCCTCTACCTTTATTGCCTTTCTTTCTCTCCCTCTATCACGCTGCTCCCGTCTGATTGTGTTTCTCCTGACTCACAGTCTCATCACACCACCACATGGATGGCAGTCCTCTGAATGGAGCGGGAGAATCCAATGCTCTTTATTTTTCTCTTCCTCAGCTTGTTTTTCAGCTGCATGCAACACAGCTGGCTGTAGCGAGGGGGGTCTTTGGTCTGTGTCCACTCCTCAGTCCCGTCACCAGTTTCAGGTCCGGGGAGCGCCAAGTTGGGGGACCTGCATCTCTGGTCCAAAACAGTCAGCACCTGGGGGGCGATAAGGAGGGGGGGGGGGGGGGGGGTATGAGCAGGTTAGCAAAGCTACCATATTCCTGTAATACGCAGTTAATTGCTCCTTTAACAAGCACCTAGGCTCTACACAGAAGCAATCACCAAGGCTCTACTGAGAAGAAATCACCTAGGCTCCAATCACAATAAAGCACCTAGGCTCAATTCAACTACTGGCTAAAAGGCTACAGCTCCAGAGCCATTGAAATATAATTGGGAAAACTGACATGGTTCCACAAGATTTGACATGGCCTTGCCCAAGAGGGTGTCTCAGGGTGAAAGATGGACATCGTCCCCACTCCGCCTTTCTGCTCAACCTCGCCAGGCTAGGCCCCTGTATTACCATGGCAACCCCGATAACGTCTGTAGACTAAACAGTTGGCATTTGAATGAAAAGGTGAAACTTTATATGCCAGCACTGTAGGAGAATTTCATATTTTGAATCACATTATAAGCCTATATTCCAACTCACCAACAAGAGACTACAAGGCCAGGATGTACAGTTGCAGTGTCACTTTCCAGTTTCTAAAACAAAGTCTGTTTCTTTCTCCCAGAGCCAAAGAAGAGCCATAGAGGGACAAACATCTTGCCAACCAGGCTTGAAGGAGGAACCCAAACATTGGCCTACACACATCCAGTCCAGAGAAAGTAGGACGTATGGCCAAGCTGCTGCTAACAGACGCCATGAATCCATGTGCCAAGCAGTGGGGGAGGACGAGCACCACACACACACACACACACACACACACACACACACACACACACACACTAATCTATACAACGAGCACAAACTGGTGTCCAGCTTAATCAGGCCATGGTAGATTAGTCTAATGGCCGTCTATGAGACCAACTAGACCACTGACTGACTGAGATGCTACTGGAACAGCTGGGTAAGGACATGGAGGGAGTGACCGCTGCAGCAGAAAATCAACCAGAACCAGCCAGTCACCCCAAACCAGGGCAAGCGCTCGAGAGAGGTAAATAAACCAGGCAGCAAGAGCAAAGCAAGGTGCTGTTGGTCAATAAGGAGGATTATGCACATGAAGATCTGTGATGCATTTAGCATGAGCTTGCTTAGCTGTCCCTTTTTCCCTCTCTAACACAATTGAAGGACCTTGCGAGAATAAGCCTGGTAGAGACAAAGAGGGGTCAATGTGTCTGGATGACCTTGGACTACTCAATTGATGGACTGGTTTTTCATAACCAGCAAACAATACATGATGGATATAAGTGAATGGATTTGTAATGGGGATTCACTTGACATTGACATAAACAGATATCCCTTTCATGGCATTCAAACCCCTGTGAATTCCATTTAACCCACTACTAAAGCGAATGTGTGGACAATTTTTCAAAAGGCACAGAAATGTGTCAGATGAATATCAAGGAAAAGTTCAAACACTCCATTTCAGTCATTTCAAAATGTTGAGCTTAGACCCATTGTAAATCAATGGCTCCAACATGAAGTATCATGCAACATACTAGTCTGTGACCTATTGACCTATTGACCTTCCGACTGGCCATCTGCCACCAGTCTGACTGCGCTCTGGATGTTGAGCATTGGCTGACATGCACTCCAAGGTCTATCATGCACTCCATGGTCTGTCATGCTTGATGGAGCTTCCAAAAAATGCCCCATTCCACAACTGTTAGCCTGGTTTAGCCTACATTCAGTTGCAAACCTTCTGTCGGATTCTCAGAGGCTAGGCCAGGGGTTTCAAACTCATTTTTCCCCGGGGGGCCGCCTTCGGTCTTCAACGAGGTCTGTAGGGCCGCACTGAAAACTGGTTATATTTCCCTTGCCGTCCAAATTTGCAAAAACATTGCTATGACAATGTCCTCTATCATTTTTGCTCCCTAACTGTCTAGCTTTCATTTAGGGGATTATTAGCAAGCTGGACACGTATGTTTCAAACCCCTGGGCTAAGTTTAATGTCAAATTCAGAACTTGTTATGGGAGCTCACACCTAGGCTACACGTTAACATGGGCTCTCAGTACCCTAACATCTGGTTGTCGCCTGGAGTTGAACTTGATACCAAAAGGTAAGTGGACACCCCTTCATTTAGTGGATTCAGCCATTTCAGCCACACCCGTTGCTGACAGGTGTATAAAAATCGAGCACACAGCTATGTAATCGCCATAGACAAACATTGGCAGTAGAATGGCCCGTACTGAAGAGCTCAGTGACTTTCAACGTGGCACTGTCATAGGATGCCACCTATTCAACAAGTCAGTTAATCAAATTTCTGCCCTGCTAGTGCTGTTATTGTGAAGTGGAAATGTCTAGGAGCAACAACGGCTTAGCCACAAAGTGGTAGGCCACACAAGCTCACAGAACGGGACCGGCCGAGTGCTGAAGCGTGTAAAAATCGTCTGTCCTCGGTTGCAACACTCACTACCGAGTTCCAAACTGCCTCTGGAAGCAACTTCAGCACAAGAACTGCTCGTCGGGAGCTTCATGATGGGTTTCCATGGCCGAGCAACCGCACACAAGCCTAAGATCACCATGCACAATGCCAAGCGTCGGCTGGAGTGGTGTAAAGCTCGCCGCCATTGGACTCTGGAGCAGTGGAAACGCATTCTCTGGAGTGATTAATCACACTTCACCATCTGGCAGTCCGACGGACTAATCTGGGTTTGGCGGATGCCAGGAGAACACCATCTGCCCCAATGCATAGTGGCAACTGTAAAGTTTGGTGGAGGAGGAATAATGCTCTGGGGCTGTTTTTCATGGGTCGGGCTCGCCCCTTAGTTCCAGTGAAGGGAAATCTTAACACTACAGCTTACAATGACATTCTAGACGATTCTGTGCTTCCAAATTTGTGGCAACAGTTTGGGGAAGGCCCTTTCCTGTTTCAGCATGACAATGCCCCAGTGCACAAAGCGAAGGTCCATACAGAAATGGTTTGTCGAGATCGGTGTGGAAGAACTTCACTGGCCTGCACAGAGCCCTGACCTCAACCCCATCGAACACCTTTGGGATGAATTGTAATGCCGACTGCGAGCCAGGCCTAATCGCCCAACATCAGTGCCCGATCTCACTAATAATCGTGGCTGAATGGAAGCAAGTCTCCGCAGCAATGATCCAACATCTAGCCTTCCCAGAAGAGTGGTGGGTGTTATAGCAGCAAAGGGGGGACCAACTCCATATTAATGCCCATGATTTTGGAATGAGATGTTCAAATACAATATGAGCAGATACTTTTAGTGTATTTACATTGCTAGTTATAAAAGTTTATGCTACGTAGAGTAAACACTAGAACACAAGATCCTTTACCTTCAGGTTACCTCTCCACAGCTGAAACAGAGAGCAGAGTTGCAGTGAGGGTTTAGTTCACAGAATCCCTGACAAGCGCCAGAATGCCTGACTTGGACTATAGCCAGGAGTCGTCTCTGATTCTAAGGGCCTGGATTTTCCTCATCCTGGTTTCCATTACAAGAAAGGGGGAGAGAAAGAAAACAGAACTCCAAAAATGTAAGGGTCCTCTGAGAGGACCTTTCGATGCCCTGGCTAATCACTATCACTACTACCCCCCTCACCCTCCCTCCCTCTTCTCTGTCCCTGTAGTGCTGGGAAGAGAAATCCCTGGCTGCGATGGGGGAACAATGCATCCAGTGCCAGCCCAACAGCCCAACCCACATGGCAGTGCCAGACTCCGTCCAGCAGCACAGACAGAGTCCTTCACTTCACCCTCCTCTATATCACCCCCCAGGCCTCTTCTCTTTTACATGGAGACTGGCTCTGTTGTAAACAGGGTCATCTCACCTTGGGGTGGTACTGATGATAGTGTGTGTGCGCGTTTGTGTGCATGTGAGACTGAGACAGCGGGTCTTCTCACGGTTGTGGAAACTTTGCGGTAAAGTGGATTATCCCTAGGATGGCACCAATCTCAAAAGGCACTGTTCAAGAGGACTATTGAAACCACTGCTGCACATTACTATTTCCCCTGGTGTCCTGTGCTTCCTCTCTGCAGTAAACAATCGGAGGGAAGGCAGGCCATTTCCATGTAAAAGGACTGTTACGTTCCCCAGCAAGAAAACCAAAAAATGCTCATACAAAAGGGGGACCTAACAAAGAGTCACTGACAACAATCCAAACGAAAAAGGCGGGGTTTTAGGAGGGGTTCTGAAAGACACTCATGAGGGTGTCCACTGAAAGTTGACTAGCAACAACAACTGGAACCTAAGAAGACACCCACCATGAGTGCCCACTAAATTTGATCAAGAAGAGGCAAACAAAAGAAAAACCCACACCAAACTTAAAAACAGGAATCAAACCAAAAAGGTGGAGCAAAACAAGAATCTGGGAAATCAGACAAAGGAATGTTTTTCTAGAAATCAAATAGGGAGAGCCGAACTAAAAGGTGTTGACCCTCTACATCTCTCAAGACAACTGGAGCACTGGGCCACCCACTCTTAAATAGCACCTGGGCCAGCACAGGTGAAACACCTTCCCACCAAGGAGATGGCAACCAGCACAGATATAACACATACTGACTAACGAGGTGACACCAATCGGTGCACCCTACGAGCTAACGAGCTATACTTGCTAAAGTCCAACCTCAAAACATAAATGGTAAAACCAAAGCCTGTAACAGGACCCATGA